GGATTAAGAACATAAAAGAAGAAGTAGGGACACAAACAAGTGAACTACAAAAGCTACTCACAGAAATAATCCAGGAGAATTTTCCTAATTTAGCAAAAGGTAAAGATACTCAGATGTATGAGGCATACAGGACCCCAGCTACCTACAACCCAAACAGAGCAACACCCAGGCATATAATAATAAAAATTCCAGAAATTCAATACAAGAACAGAATATTAAAAGCTGTAAGAGACAAGAAACAGACCACCTACAAGGGAACACCCATCAGAATTACAGCAGATTTCTCTGCACAAACCATCAAATCACGAAGAGCGTGGGGGGAAATAATTCAAGCATTGAAAGATAATAATCTCCAGCCAAGATTGAGATATCCTGCACAACTGTCCCTGGAAATTGATGGAAAAACAAGGTGCTTCCAGGATAAAGAGGAACTGGGGGAATTTGCAACCACCAATTCAACTCTACAGAGAGTATTGCAGGATATTCTAAAAAAAGAAAAATACAAAGAATCCAGAAATAATGGCAGAGAGGCCACAACGAATGGAGCAGAGAACAAAATGAAGAAGACAAACTGACAGCTACGGACAGAAAAAGAGCTTAACAGAAATGAGGCAGAGAAGATTGGATGATAGGAACAGCTATTTTGGAGAAAATGACATCTTAATAGGTAATACAGATTTAGTATCATCTTGTTTTGAAGTCTCATCTAGCTTTTGTCCTTCTGTCTCCAATGGTCTAAATAGTCTGTATCTTATTGGATTTTATTATGTACGATAGTATAAGCAAAAACCTTTTAAAGACAAGGAGATTATACAGAAACCATTGTTCATTTTGTTAGTCGATTCTAAATACTCTGTAATGCTGTCATTCTCTTGAATGGTTTTACATTGTTTTGATATACTTAATGCTACAGTATACGAAGTTGTACTCAAGGATTTCAAAGAAAGAAACAATATGGTAACTACTTTTAGGTTAGGATTATCTGGTGGTGAAACACTATTCTGCTTAAATGGTTATGTTTTGATCTGCGCTGTTTCGTTGTTATGCCCTCTTTTATCTCAATCTCCACTCCATTATTTACTTTTTTATCTTTATCCCTTTAATTAAAGGAAAAAAAATAGCAGGATATATTATAGTAACCTACTTTGACTTTTCATTACCTTGATTTAAAGCCCTGTATTACTCTCACCATCTGGTTTTTAACTGATGTTCCCCTATTCTGTTTTGCTGGATAGTATCAGGTTCGAAAGTTTAGGCATCAGCTGTGAAGATAATGAGATTCATTATGACGCCCATTCTTGTTGACTTTTGTCTACTTTTGAAGACCTACAATGTCTCCAATGTTTTGGTTTTGTCGGTTTTGTTCTTTACTGTTTTGTTCAATTGTATTATAACTAATGATATAGGCAATTCTATTAGAGATAGCGGGAGGCATTATGGTAACCATTGTTGATCACCTTGTATTATGTTTTTACATTATCTATTATGTCCACCCTTTTGACTTGACCGATTCTGTTCTGTTATGTCACATTTGGTTTTACTCTCTTCCAAAAAAGCAATAAGAACCGTGGGAGCAATGAAACCCAAAATGTGTAATAGTCATGGTACAAAAGAGAAGAAAAGAAAGTGCTCCAAACTATATAACTGCATGTATATTTAAGTGTATAAGATAGAAAATGATATCACAGAGTTTTATTGGATCAATGAACAGAACTGTTTGCAGTATCATTGATGGAATGTCCACTTTACAAGCTCTAATTTTGTGACTTGAACAATTATTTCTAAGATGACAATATGTAATCCATTAACTAGTGATTTCCTACTGTTCATTTTTTTTCTGTAAATCTGTATAACTTGTACCCTTTCCCTGCTTTTTTTTTCTTTTCTCCTTAAATAAAATTTAAAAAATAAAAAATAAAAAAATAATAAAAAATAAAAGAGTTAACAGTCATAGGACCAGAACAATTGTGCATATTATTGTAGGGTGATCTGAGGAACTCTGGAAGATCATTATGTAAAATAACAACCCTAGTTATGCTCCTACCACCTTGTTTTAAATGCCTATATTTGCAATGTTCTGGGCTCTTTGCTACAGTTATTTATTTGTCTTTTTTGTTTTGTGTTTTTCTAGTAATCTGTTTTGTTTTCCCTTATAATACAGAAAGGATAGGTATACATGTAGGGCTTGTACATTTGAATACCTTCTCCTAAACAGTTTATAAGAACTGATTATGAGCCAGAAGCTGGAGAGTCTGAGCCAAAGGCTTCAGGATCTTGCCACAAGCCTGCATGAGGGCTTAGCACCTGAAGGCAGGAGGCAAAGCCCAAGGTGAAGACAAGGATTAAAACTCCTCCAAAGAGAGCAAGCCAAAGCATCTTCAAAGAAAAAATGGTGGAAATGCTACTGAAGAAAAGTAGATGCAAGTAGTCTCTTTAAGTCTGATAGCATGATGGATTTGGGGGGTTTTCAAACATCAAATCGGCCTCTACACCTGAAACAAATCCAACTTAGTCCAGCCCCCCACTTCCTGCACAACTCCACTCAGCACTGAGGGATGCCACACTGCTCCTTGGGTCCAGGCCCACGTCCAGTGGATGCCCAGATTCAGGACACCTTCTGGCCCATTGGGGACACTCTCTACCTCCTGGACCTAATACTGCCCTTGATCTTTGGCTCCCACCTTTTCTCCCAGAACCTTGGACTACAGTGGATTAACTGTGCTAGCATGAGGGGAGATTCAGTAACTGCCTCATCCAAACAGAAGATCTCAGCAGGCTCCAGCCAATGTGGTGAATATGACCCTAAAATAAAGGTGCACAGTGAGTAAATAGGGCCAGTAGTAAATCTTCCTCCAACTAACTATAAGACCTGGTGAATCTGTCAAGAGTGTGGGTGACTCCTTCCTACACACAGAAAACATCAGGCAGGGTGAGGAGGATGCCAATAAGGACTCCCCCAACTTGGAGAAAATCAAAAAGGCTTATGAGACACATAGGCACACAATAGGAACATAGTAGGGTCTCAGCTGACACAAACACTTAAGACAGGGAGATTTGGTGACCTGTAATAACCTGAAAATGTAGTAATAGCAGGAATTAAAAGTTGACCTACATCGATACTACTAGGCTTGTCAGCCCAGGAAGAATATAAGACTCACCCAACAGGCCCTGCAGTGGGAAGTCAGGTGACTGTCACACCTATTCATTGGAGGACCCAGAAATTGGACAAACATCAACCTTACATTCAGACCCCAAGATACACACTAACTACAGTTGATACTAGTGAGACTGAAGGACCAAATATTAACTCAAAAGAGGACAATGGCAAAGCAAAAAAGCAAAATGCAATCTCAAACGTCTAGCCCACCAGGAGCAAGCGGAGGAGACAGTGAAATACAGGACTTCAAAAATAACACACCAGAAATCTATGAAAAGAAAGCAAGTGAATGGGTTTGTCCTTGTTTGTTTGATTTTACTAACCGTGATGGTATGAACAGCTAATTTGAGGGAAACAAGTCATTATAATAGCCAGTACTGGTACAATATCATCTTACTATTAAGTCCTACCATGCTTTTGCTCTTCTGTTTCCTTTGGCTATATCATGTTGTACCTTACTGGATTGTATTATGTGTGAAAGTACAAACAAATTTTCTATGGAAAATGAGATAATATAGTAGCCATTGTTTGTTTTCTATTATTTGGTTCTGAATGCCCTGTGATACTCCCATTCTCCTGAATGTTTTTATACTGTTTTGTTATGTTTGATACTATTGTATATGAAGTTATGCTCAACTATTTCAAAGAAAGAGACATTGTGGTAGTTACTGTTAATTAGGGGTTGTCTTCTAGTGAAATTCTGTGTTGTTTACATTGTACTGTTCTGATCTGCTTTGTTATGTTCTGTTTTGTCTTAATCTCTTTAAAATAAAAAATAAAAAAGAAAGCAAGTGAAATAAAAAAAACAACTCTGCGAGGCTATAGAGTAAATCAAATTAGAAGTACTGTCTCATAAAAATAACAACTTTAGTAAAGGAGTTGCTGAGCACAGCGAAAGAGGAAATAGAGAAAAAAGTACAAGAGCATGGGAAACTAATTGAAACCTTGAATGAAAAATAAAGGAAACAAGCAGAATTCATGAAACAAATGCAAAGGGACATCCATGAAACAAAAAGTTCTATTCAAAGTTGGCAGAATCATTTAAATGAAGCTAGATAAGATAGATAATAGAAGATAGAAGATAGATAAGAGGAAAAAGGAACATGGTTTCTTCTGAATTGGGGAAGGGATCAAGAGATGACAGAAAAGGAGAGGGAAAGGGGATGTAAATAGGAATTCAGATGTGCCATGCACATGAACTAATTCCACACAAGTTATGTAACACATACTTCAGACATTGACTAAATATATATGTGTGAGTGAGTGTGTGTGTGTGTGTGCCAACAGTGCAATGAAGGAAAGATGAAAGAAATAGGGATGTAGACGTATAAGAAATTGGAAAGAGGATTTGGAAATACTCAAAGGAAATATTAACTGGAGAAAACAGATCAAATTATCACAATTTGTGTCCTCCCAAAATGAATGTAATTATTATCTATCATAAAAATTCATGAAAAAAATTAAGAACATAAATGTATGGCTCTCTTTGAAAATAAAAAGAACTTAACAAAATGTATTAGTTTTTTTCCAAATGTAGTAATATACAAGTAGAAGATGGCATACTAAAAATTAGCCAAAAAATGAGCTTGCCAAAGGAAAAGCAAGACAGCATAAATTAAACAATCAATTATAAAGCATAATACTATACATTGCAGCTTTAATGAGAACAAAAATTTATAATGACACTCAAAGTGAAAAGGTGATCATTATCATTGATATCATACTGTAAAAGAAAAAAATTCATCTTAATTGAAGGCTCATATTGTCATCTATTTTCTGATGGAAAAGTAGTGTAGATGTAACACACACCCTTTAGGTACTTAAGAAAAACGTTGGTATAAACTTAGAAAGACCTCTTTCTTCTGGAATGCATTGTATATTTCAATCCATGCAAAGAATTTCTTCCTGGTTGTAACAAGATAATATAACACTTAGGGACAAAGATGCAGCCCAGCAGCCCTGCACTGGAAGCCAAGATGGAGAAGACCTCCATGGCCACCATCACCTTCCCCTTGCTGCTGTGGTACACAGGGAGGAAGGTGACCCACACACTGCAGAACACCAGCATGCTGAACGTCAGGAACTTGGCTTCATTGAAGGTGTCAGGCAGGTTCCTGGCCAGGAAAGCCACAGTGAAGCTGAGCAGGGCCAGGAAGCCCAGGTATCCCAGGACACAGTAGAAGGCAGTGAGGGAGCCCTTATTGCACATGATGATGATGTGGCCATGTTCAGAGTGTGCATCTGTGTCCACAAATGGTGGATTTGTCCCCATCCAGACTCCACAGAGAGTGAGTTGGATCAGGGAGCAAATGGGGATGATGTAGTTTGGTGCCCCTGATACCAGCAACTGCCTCATCTTTCTCCCTGGAGCAGTGACCTTAAAGGCTAGCACAACAGTAATGGTTTTGGCCAAGACAGTGGAAACAGCCACAGTGAAGACAACTGCGAATGTGGTCTGCTGGAGGATGCAGGTGGCTGTGTTGGGACGGCCAATGAAGAGCAAGGGGCAGAGGGAGCAGAAGGTGAGGGAGACGAGCAGGGTGTAGCTGAGAGCTCGGTTATTTGCCTTGACAATAGGAGTGTCTCTGTGCTTCACAAAGAGTGAAAGAACTGCAGCTGTTAGAATAGTAAAACTCAAGGCTGTGCCTGCCAGGATCTTCCCTGAGAGGTCTTTGTAATCCATAAATGTGATAGATTTTTGGACACAATTGTTTCGCTGACTGTTCGCATACTGATGATCTGGACACTTTATGCACTGTTCTGCATCTATTGAGAAATGTACTTATCAGCTCAGCTTAGTATATCTCTATCATTTACAGTATATCTTAGTATCTTAGTATACTAGTATATCTCTATATATACTAGTATATACTATACTAGTATATCTTAGTATCTTAGTATATCTCTATCATTCTCACTGCAATAACTGAACTGAATAATCCTTATGTCTGCAATGTTTTTTAATTCATAGATATTTAGTGATAGAATATTACATATGGAGGAACTTCCAATTAATAATGTTCATCTTTATGGTCTACTGAATAGTATGTTTTTAGTAAACTGGTATTCATATAAGATATTTTCCATATCACAAAACACTCTAAAATGGATCTATCAAATTTGATCTGTAAGTGATGCCTTCATAATATGGTCAGTGGACTAGTGCTAATTGAGAAAACATGTTGATGTACTAAGTTCTATGAATACAGAAACTCTGATTCCTGGCTGCCTTGACATAAGCAGCTTTCTCTTTGATAGGCCTTTCCACCATGACTCCTCACATTGGAGTTAGCGGTATATGGCCTGAATACACTCAAAATTAAAAACCAAGAAGTTCTCAGCTCTCAGTAGGATAATGGCAGCCAGAGGGAGTGAGATGCCTTCATCCCCAGGAAACCTCCGCAATGGCAGAGAGAGCCTAGAGATCTAGAGAACTTGAAAATTACTAAAGTTATATATTCCCTTGACTAAATTTGAACTCCTGGATTGCATCCATTAGCCTCATCCACCATCCGATTTTGAATCCATTAAGTGTTCATTTTTCCACAGCACAGGGACGCAGTTGCTGTGACTGAATGACATACCCACCTGAGTGTAGATGAGGCCAAAACCTGAGGAAGAAAAGGTAAGCATTGAGAGTGGGAAGCTCTATGGAGAAACAATAGGCTGGGTCACCACTATCAGCCCCAAGAAAAGCCCATACATGTTGTAAATTGCAAAACCAGTAAGGGATTTTACTCCAAAAGTGACTCTTTCCATGTGGCAGGTTAGAGTTGAGGAAGAAACACAGCATCACCCATCAAATGTGAGATTGTTCAATCAGAAGCCATTTTGAGAAGGAGTTAATTGTTCAAGACTGAGCCACAGAACAATTTCACTTTAGGGTTTGTAGTGTTAACCTCCCACAGTGACTGATTTATGACAGCCCCAAAAGACGGACAAGGAGATATGCACACTAGACATAGACACTTTGAGAAGTTCCAACTCAGTGCAAAAAGGACACAGAGTCATGTTCTCCATGCTGAGAAATCAAGTCAGCATGTGTGGCTTTTAGAGGTGGCTGAAAATCAAATAATTTCATTAACCCAAGTGAACAGCTGAAAGATTAGATATCTGATTGCTTCCCCCCATCTACCAGCAGAACCAGGGATGAGCATTGCTTCAATTGATGTCAAGCCTCAGGTCTAAATAGGCAGAGGGCTCTCTGGAGCAGAGAGGGCATCTTATAAATCCACAGGTTATACAGGTAGACAGAGAAAACCATGACTTGCTTGATGCCAAGACTGAAGATTCTGGAAAGAAACCACTCATTCAAAAACTCAGAAGAATTTTTCATTGGACTCATGGTTTATTTTCCTTTGTTTTTTAGAGATTTGAGCATATTACTTTTTTCTTTTTTGAGTCATTTCAATTACTTATTAATTTTTCTTTTTTACCTTATTTTGCATTTTTTCTTTTTCTTCTTGTTTGTTCTTCTTCATACTTTTCCATAATGCTGCTAATGTCCTCCAGCTCCTTAATGTCCTTTATCCAGCATTTTTCCTGCTCATCTTCCACTGCTTAATTTTTCATGTTTTAGTTCTTTATTCTCACATTGCCCATATCATTTTGTTAGTATGGCCATTAAACTTTGTTAGTTCTCAATTAATGTTGTGCTCTTACTTTTGAATTTATTTCCATTGTAGTTGCAGTTATAGTGGTTGCATTTGGTATACACTTACTATATTTTTAATATTTGCTTTGACTTAATGTTTATATTATAGTTATAGATTTCTTTTCTTTCATTAAGGGTGGTAAATTATTGATGCTTATGTTATGTTGATATCTACTTTGATTTTGATGATATTGTTGTTGCTGATTTTGTTACTATTTCCAGAGTAGCAGAGTTTTTGCTTTCAACTAAATTTCAATGTATGCCAATACTGATGTTTCTGATGTTTTACCTAAAATAGTGCAATCCATTCTCAGAGAACTGGCTGGTGGGCCAATTACACTATACACTTCCATCCCAAAGTAACACAGATAGTTGAATCTTGGGACAGAGGCAAAGGCCGATAGTTAGCATTCCTAGAGTGCAAAATGTAAAGCAGACTCAAACTAAAGAAGTCCCCATACTAACAAAAAACTCTTTCCACTATAATCAACCTACAAATCTCAGAATGTGAACACACACACACACACACACACACACACACACACACACACATAAAGGTAGAGGAAATCAAAGCCTCACAGCCTAATTATTGAAAAGAACAAAGGAGATTAGAAAACATATCATTATGATCCTTGGCAAGTACTAAAATAGTATACATAACAGATAATGGACAGAACTTAAAAGTGATTGGTAAGACTTCTGGAGAACATGGCAGATAGTTAACAGCAGCTACAGAGGCTCTCTAAGATAACCAGCTTGCATCCCAGGAATGGTGTGGTGTGAAGAGTCCTAAGCAAGGGGAGATATAACCTGCCAACCCAGGAAAAACTAAGCTGAGAAAAACCAACTAGAAATGCAATCCTGGTGCTATAACTGGAACAGATAAAATCTCAGCCTTGAAACTGGAACCCACGCCTCTGGAAATCATGATTTGAATTTCCTGCCACCGCTGCTGTGTCTGAATTGGCACAGCAGGGACAGACACAAAAGCTCTGAGAGTGGGCACAGAATTGAGAGTGGGACTGGCAGGGAGATCTGCATTGACCTGCAGTGAGTGAGAGGAATGGGGACCCTTCCATAGAATAGGAGGCTCCAAAAGAGAACATTCTGGGACCAGGCAGACTAGTCAGAATAAGATGCTGCAGTGACTTTACTCACATATTCCTATCTCAAGCAGGATTGGTGGGGAGCACTTGGGATGGGTGATGCCGAGGACTAAGACCCAGTAGGCTAGCACAAACCGGGACCAAGCACCTGGCAGTGCACCCTAGCAGTGAAGCCTTCAGTAGGTTACCCTGTAAGGGTGGGCTCAGCAGAAGCTGCCCAGGTCTGTGTCTCCCTAGTACACTGCAGTGGGCAGGAACACCTAGCTGGTGCAATTCAAACAGACTGTAAGAGACAAAAAAAGAAACTTTCTTATATATGCTCCTCTTACATATGCTCTTTCTTATATATGCTTGTATGTAAGGAACAAAAAGTATGGGAAAAGGGAACAACAAGAAAGGGTCCTCGGCACCAAATCCTGATAACACTGATCCAGGAAAGGTAAATGCAAAGGTGAATGAGAACAGAAAACATGCAATATCACACATGGCACCAATAGACATAAAGCGATATCTCTGGAGCCTCATAGATGAGTTCAAAAGTGAAGTATTTAATAAAATAAAGCAAGATATAAGTAGAATAGTTAGAGAAATGCTAAGCACCATCCAAGAAAAAAAGATGGTGGAATAGAAAAACAGAAAAAAAGCAGAGAATTGTTTGTGTGTGTGTGTGTGTGTGTGTGTGTGTGTGTGTGTCTGTGTGTGTCTTTTTCCTTTTTATTGGTACCAGGGATCGAACTCATGACTGCCTGCTTGCAAGGCAGGCACTTATGCCACTGAGCTAAATCCCCAGCCCCAGCAGAGAATTGTTTGAAGGAAGAAATAGAGAAAACATAGAATACGTGATGCAGGTTCAAAGAGATTACCAGGAAACTAAAAACTCTACTGAGATCTGGCATAACATCTTGAAAGAAACTAAGGATAGATTATCTGACCTGGAGGACAGATTTGTAATGTGAGAGCATGAGATGAAAAATTTCGTAAAAAAAAAGGAAACAAAGAGCAATAATACAAAGTATAGAAGATGATAAGAGGATCTATAATATAAGGATTAAGAATGTAAAAAAAGAAGTAGGGACACAAACAAATGAACTACAAAGGCTATTCACAGAAATAATCCAGGAGAATTTCCCTAATTTAGCAAAAGGTAAATACACTCAGATGTATAAGGCATATGAACCCAGCCACCTACAAACCAACCAGAACTACAACCAGGCATATAATAATCAAAATTACAGAAGTCCAATATAAGAACAGAGTATTAAAAGTCATCAAAGACAAGAAACAGATCACTTACAAGGAAACACCCATCAGAGTTTCAGCAGACTTCTCAGCACGAACCATCAAATCATGAAGAGCATGGGAGGAAATAATTCAAGCTTTGAAAGATAATAACCTCCAGCCAAGATTGATATATCCTGCACAACTGTTCCTAGAAATTGATGGAAAAACAAGGTGCTTCCAGGACAAAGAGAAGCTAGGGGAATTTCCAACCACCAATTCAGCTCTACAGAGAATACTGCAGGACATTCTAAAAGAGAAATATACCAAGATTCCAGAAACAGTGGCAGAGAGGCCTCAATGAATGCAGCACAAAGTGAAACAAAGAAGGCAAATTGACAACTAATGACAGAAAAAGAGCTCAACAGAAATGAGGCAGAGAAGGTTGGATGGCATGAACAGCTATTTTAGAGGAAACAAGACATCATAATAGGTAGTGCTGATTTAGTATCATCTTGTTTTGAAGTCCCATCAAGCTTTTGTTCTTCTGTCTCCATTGGTCTTAACATGTTGTATCTTATTGGATTTTATTATATGTGATAATACAAACAAAAACTTTGATAGACAGGAGATTATACAGAGACCATTGTTCATTTTCTGTCAGTTGATTCTAAATACCCTGTAATACTGTCATTCTCTTGAATAGTTATACATTGTCTTGATTTGTTTTACACTGCAGTATATGAAGTTATACTCTAAGATTTCAAGCTAAGAGACACTATGGTAAC